CGTTTTGGATAGCATTGAAAGACACGTCATATACCCGGCCCAAACCCCTATCCGTGCTGCACTCATGAGTCATGCCTACAGAGTACAGTGGAGAGAAAAAAGCAATTAGTCACACATAGTTGATATGAGTCCGGAGAGAGAACACATTGAAGAGAGTTGGGTTGTACACACCTGGAATAGGGTTGGTGGACGTTAGCATGGCTGCTGGGGTGCTCCCATACACACACATACACGACGCGTCCACGGTGTATTTCAGTGGGTCTTCCGTGTTTACTTCAATCTGCTGATAATATTACACTTACAATGACATGTAAATATCGACGCAAGGACGAGCTCAGGAAATTCCGCTCGAGCTGTCATCGTAAAGTGCCACTAATTGTCGGAGAATGTCGTGTCAACACTTCCCAAACTGCAGCACCAACTAGTAGTGCATGGATAGTGCAACTGGTTATGTGGCTACCTGGTCACATGATGCTGAATGAATTTCAACAAGACCGTGGAGCGTATTCGAACTCCTTCTGGCACAAAGGCCAATGGGCACTGCAGTGGAAATACTGGCGATCTTTGAACTCAATCATGTTTACTGTAGTGTTCCGATGGAGCATCTTCTAAACTCGATCTAATTGTGCTGTAATTTTAGCTGCCCATGACGTCACTTGCCATAGGCAATTACTACTGAAGTAGTAAAGGGCTTGTTTTGGCGTAGCGAAGAGCAGAGCAATAGATTATCCGTATGTCAAAGACAAGTGCGATAGTGCTCAATGCCGTTGGGGAGTTTGCAAAGAATCATTACATGCAGACCATGCACGTACCGATCGTAGTAAGCTGCGAGTGCATGTACATGTAAGTTACTGGCCAGTAACGTTACTAGCGCATAGCCATGCCAAATGCCAAGCTCTTGAGCTTCTTGGCCTGATGTACAATCATGTAAATCATGAATTATACATTATGAGTGCATATGTACACACACGCACATGTACCTGTTCTTGTATGCACTGAACGCTTTCTAAAGTATTAGAGCTTCCTTTTACACCTCAGGATACAGCTGACTTACGAAGTCAGGCTTTCCTCAGTTGCAGCCCAGTCTTCTCCTAATCTTTGTGCAGGAATACTAGGAAATCCATATTCACCGAGCTGACAACACGTGTACGGTGCCACAAGACTCGATATGGAATAGCATGATTGTGCAGTCCACCAGTTACCGCTGAGGCCACTACCACTAGTAAATGTACCAGCCAGCCAGTCGACCATCATCATGCTGACTCACACGACGGGCTTCTGCTTGAGCAGCTCTCTCTCTCTCTCTCTCTCTCTCTCTCTCTCTCTAGCTCTCTACCTGCACCTACCTGCAAAAAGTTAACAATTGAGTGATGTGTCATCGTCTCCGGTTTCGCCCTTTCCTCAACCCTGGCCTGGAATACATGTACATGAACGTCAAGCATTGCAAGTCATGTCCTGGCCATCACGAAGCGCGTCAGCAGTGGCGGAAATTACTAACCTCTACCAATCCAAACCACTCATAAAATACAAACCGCCTCCAGCACGCCGGCAAAATAATGATCTATGACTACGACTAGGTCGGTACACGACCAGTCATTATCTCGCTAAGTCACGGAATATTATTGCCCGTTTCAACGAAGATGCCAATTAACCATGTTACCTATCTTGACCAGCCCAAACTGTCCAGCTGTCCCTCCCCAAACGCCTTAAGAAAACACATGTACTGCACCTACTCCCACAGTCCCAGGCCCAGAGTTTAACAAAGGAAACGTTTAAAACATTCATTTACCAGGATGATAAATGCAGATGACTTGTGGTCGTCGTTGCTTTCCATTGCCGAAAACAATACACGGTAGAAGTTTCTACCGCCGCTTGGACCAAAACACAGAGGAATTATTTTAACAATCGCCTACGGAACGCTCCAGAAGTCCTCAATGTTCGGTATGCCCGCTCCCGCCCCCTGGTGCGCTGACTGCAAAACGCCATTCATGACTGAAGACCACGAGATCAAGGTGTTCTGCTCGTGTCCCAGTGCCTGCACATGTACATGTCGTGCATTCAGTGTTGAGCACAGGCTGAATACGTGACTGTGTGACTAGGTGAATGTGCAAACTGACTCATCGCGGTGGGATTTTAGAAGTAACCAAGTAATTTAGTTAAAACACACAGCCCTGCTCCTAGAAATGATGGCCTCCCGTGGCTACGAAAATAGCGTCTACTCTTGAGTACTCCAGGTGCCGGGCTTCCAGTGTCACTCATACCCATAACCCCTTATTATTGTTGTCGTGCTTGTTCAGGAATCCTGAAAGTCTTGGGCGTGCTGGCGGACTGGCACTTATACTATAGTTATACACAGCACTGATCGAACACGTTTCTTCGTGCACCAGTGGAGCCGAATACGTACATAATATTAAATGCGCAATGTACATAAATAAAATTAAAAAAATTCGACGGGTTCGCGTACCGGGCAGGTCAAGAACAAGGAGTCGTACAACTCCCTGGTCAAGAACCACCTTTCCGCTTCCGTGGGACGCCACCACCCCATGATCAGGCGTCAGATGCGGCTCCTAAACGGTGCAATGTACATGGACATGGATAATTATGAGTTTTTCATGATTGATCGTGTACTACTACTACATGTAGTAGATTCTACGAGTCGCAGAAGGATCAGTGCAGTGGACGGTTACATGACGCACTGTACATGTATATGAAATGCCAGCACCCACCTGGATTTTGCCTGTGTGCAAAACGAAGCAGATCTACTCGGTTCTACTACTACTAGTACTAGTCTTGTACATGCATGTCAACACTACAGCATGCCGCATGCCGCTGAGGGCAACTACATGTACACTGTACATGTACATTAAATTATTTGTTTTGTTTCTTTGTTTCTTTACAATGTTTACAATGTATCATCCAAAAGAAAATAGACGCTCACATGTACTGTATCTAGGGAGTTTTGTGTTGTGTTGGGGGTAGGGTGAAAAGGGCGCAAGGGTAGGGTGAAAAGGGCGCAAGGGTAGGGTTTAAATTGGGGGAGGGGAAGAATAGAAAGTGTCAAAAGAATTTTCATGTAGTACAACAGACAAAGCATTAGCAGATCCAGACTATCATTATAATAAGACATGAAACCGGGTATGCCTGAATTGGTGAATCGGTAAGCATTTATAAAGTTTCCTAAACTGCACAGCCTGGGATTGGCTAAGGAAGGCATGTCATGGTGGAGCTTATTCTAAGGAATAGCAATAAGGAAAGGGTACATGTACATGTACATGTACTGGATTTTCTCATTGAAGCCATGTGGCTAAATGAAGTGAAATTCACCAATCGCAAGAGTAACAGTGCAGGGTTAGTGAAACGATAATGACAACTTGAACATGCAGCACCAATCACTGTTCTCCAAGCAGATTCGGCAAAATATGTAATGTACCATAATGTAAAACAGAGAGGTTCCAGGCTTTCCAGTAGAGTTTCACCCTCTCCCTTTTCTTGTTATTCATGTTGGTTCAGGGTATCTTGCTCAATTCCATTACGACACCGTGTCATCTGACACTTCCTTCAAGCTGTGCTACAGAGGACAGTGCGTTTAGACCACTGTTCAGTGTTCAATACAGACTACAGTACAATGTAATACAGTATTTCTCTGTTCCTATTTCCCCTACAAACATTCTACATGTGCAATCGGTTTCCTGACCCAAGCCTAGTACAGTCATGTACGTGTACATGACACATGTTAGCTACATGAATTTTTCGTAATTGCTGTACATGTACATGTAACTAAATACCAGGCCCATTTGTCATACATGTACACGTAGTCCGTAGACATGTACAGGTATATTGTACGTAAGACATTCCACGTCTCGAAGTATTGGGGGAGAAATCGTATCAGGTGACACGAACCTTAGTCAAGCATCTGCCCATCTTTCCAGAGATCTCGAATTTCACACTTGTGGCGGGAGTGAAATGACGTTAGCCAAAGTGCAACCCACCCTTACATGTTCCTGAGGAGGTTTACTGCAATCGTGTACATTGTAAACACTCGAATCATACACTGATGCTCGCAGTCTCGCTTCCACTTGTACATTTAGCGCTGATGGCGTTCACGGTTGTTATTAGCATTGACGACCGCGAGCAACACGGGAGAACGACATGTTCATGTGGGTAATGGCATATTTGCAGTCTACACCATTGACATCAAGAGTATTGCAATCATGTACTTCGATATGCACCACCAATGGTTTTTATATCTGATGATTAGAGCTGAGCCACGGCATGAGGTTGAAGTAGCGACAATGGCACGGTTACCCTACATGCCGGATTTGCCCATGCACATTATGTACAATGTACATTGACACCTGGAATTCTAGAATACAATATAATACACTGCATTCAGTATACATGTACATGTACACTGTACACTGACTGAGCATTGTAGCAGCTCAACCCGATACTGGAGAACACTATCACCAGTGGTAGATGGTGATGCTAAGATCAGATGCCAGGTTGATCATAGCACCCATCTGATGTGCTGTAGAGTGTAGATGCATTGTACTTCTAAGTACAGGACATTGTGTAAACCGAAGGTCAAAGTGTTGCTCAGTAACGTTCAAACTTGTCCCACATTCCCCTCAGTAACGTTCACACTTGTCCCACTTTCCCCTCAGTTACGTTATTTATCTTACGACATACCCCACCCACCTGTCAGAATGACTGAATAACACAAACCTGTGGTGGTCTTCAACATAGCAACCACAATACAACCTCATCGCCTCAGCACAATTCAAAACAACAGAGCTTTGTCATGTTTTAAAATGTTCACTGGTTTTGTGTTGCCAAAGCGATAAGGCATGGCGAGTTCTTAGCCGCGTGCTATTCTCCAAGTCAGAGCTTCGCAGGAACAGATCTATACTACTGGGTACTAATGGTTCAATGGAACCTGGCAAGAATGACAAGGCCATACCAGTAGCCCGGCTCAACCAAAGGTGACAAAGCACAGTAAGTATGAGAGAAGCTTGATAAGTCTTACTATTATTAGCAGCACAGCACTCAGCGGCCTTCAAGGGTTCATTATGTATAACACAGTTGATTTGGGAGCATTGGATAAATATAGCGGATAGTTGTGTTTCTCTTTGGGATCTGTTGATGGAATGTAGAGGGGGCTGAATCGTGCGTGACTCAAAAAGTGCAGAAAAGGCGCAGAGAGACTACGAGTACGAGCAATATAGCAGCAGCAGCAGCAGCAGCAGCGTCAAAACAGAAGCAATGTGAACAATGGCACTCAGTGTGATCAAGATGCGTGGGAGAGATGAACGCTATGTATTTCTGAAGAGGTCTAATGAAGCCGTTACATGCATGTAATCAGCATCCGATTTACATAAATGAATTGCCAATTGCACCGACCATTCCCACGCTTCTCCAGGGTTGCGTCGCATTGTGACTTGACCAGCTATCCGCCATGTTCATACATGCGTGTACCGACGCCGAGTTTGGACCGCAATGGAAGCCGCTGTCACGAAAGAAGATGGACGGGCTTAGAGGCATCGGATCGGACTGATGATACATCGACTGCAGTTGCGGCTCCTGGGGATAACGTACTGCTGCTGCTGTTGTTGCTGCTGAGTGCGATGAGGAGGTCTGGGGGAACGCTGAATCGAAGCGAACACCTAAGCCGCTTGGCGAGTAGAGTGACGGCTGAGTGGTGGCAAATGGGAAAATGGTGCATTGATCATGATTCTGCTGCGAAGTGACTGGCCATGCTAGTGTGTCCGTGGCAGAGCATTGCTGCGATGGGCACAGAGAGAGAGGAAAGGAGAAGAGAAAACATTCACGATTAGCACGGCGACCATTGGACAGTATCACACCAGATTAAATATAGTCAGAATCACGATAACAGTCATTAACACGTTCATGCTTGATCCGGAGTTTCAACGTTCCTCCGAAGCCCACACAATCCGGGATATCACTGACACCTGCATGCTACGGGCAATATGTACCATGTGGTGCACCGCTGAGAAGCAACGTAGTCGGAGATGTAGTAATAGCAAATTACTTGAACAAGTTGAAGAATCCACTAGCTTGAGGGTGATTGCCCATGATGATAATACCTAGTAGTAGTACCTCTCCTGCCAGCGCCACTGATTTTTGCAAATTAATCAAATTGCAACACTTATGCTATTACAAAGTGCACGGGAGAGGCTTGGGAAGTGGAGAGAAAGCAAATTCCTCAGGCAACGCGCAATTCCTATCGTTGTTCACAGGTAGTGCACTAGTGATAGAGTCGGACGAGGGGCATCGCAGTTTTGGGATCGCCGTGCAAAGCAACAGACACAGACAGCACTCTAGCTCTGGTGATCCAGCTAGTAGTAGTAGTAGGAATTCATATTCCACACCTACTGCTTAACTATCTGGCATATCTTGTGACAGAATCCCAGTAAAGTCTAATGACCACCACCATGGTTGCGTAATATTATGCAGATGAGATGTACCAGTCCATCCAGTTGCTACCTAAACTAACCCGTGACCAAAGCCATGCGGCCTGCTACACGTCACCAACCATGTACAGCGACTTACAATTATGTAAGTACATGAACAACTTACTGGCAATCCGCATTGTCACAGTCCGCACTCAGGAAGTACATGCCTAATGTACATGGCTAGTGACGTAAGCATAGGTATACCGTATACATGTACGCGTATGAACATGCGTATGGACATGGGTTGGGAGACTTACCGAACGGAGTGGCGCCTGTTGTAGCCGTGTTTGGCAGTGAGACGGCTGTTGCATGGACTGATGCTGGAGATGCTGCGGCTGCTGTTGGTAGGCTTGCTGCGGATGCACAGGGCTTGCCACCTGTGCGGGCAGCACGTCATGGCGAAGAGGTGAGATGGTACGAGGCTGGCATTGTGGTTGCTTGACTGTGTTGCTGCTGCTGCCAAGACTCATGGGACTGCGCGCAGCCATGGACACATCACTGTTGGTCGGCGAGGCCACTGAGCGTGGTCGGACGGTTGACTCTAGCAGAGAGGTGCGAGACAGGGATGATCGAATGGAGGGAGATGTGGCCTTGGAGCGCTCCGATATGCCGTCCAGGATACATCTCTCCGATGCACAGCTGTTCCCACTACCCTGGCTAATTGTGCTGCTGGTTGGGGTTTGAAGGCTGATATCGGCCGAAGGGGAAAGAGCATTGTCCGACTCCTGGCCCGTCTCGCCTCCAGCTTCAGGCGTCTCTTGAAAACCTTGCACCACCTCAGACAGGTCGCCGATGTACAGCATGGCCAAACGGAGTGTCTCGATCTTGGTCATCTTCTTGTTGGGCGGGTAACAGGGCAGGAGCGAACTGAGGTAATCGAATGCACCGGCTAACGTCCTACCTTTTGGACATGTGCTGGGGATCACTGAGTTTGCCCTTGCTGACGTCGTTGCTGACCTACTGTTCTTCTTGGCGTTTGGCCTGAGGGCAGGAGAGCCGCCGGAAGGCGCGAGTCTGGAGATAGGTGTTGTTCTAGGCTTACCCATGGCTAACTTACTTTGACAAGGATTACTTCAGGAGGCAAACAGGAGAAACTGGTGTTGCTTCAGCCGGTACAACTGCCTTTTATCCGGAGAGATGCTGAATTACCGGTCTACGTCAATGTGTCAACAACCTACGTCGTCACAACAAACTATTACACAACGGGTAAACGGTCACTGTAATATCAAAATGCCTGCAACGAGGCAGATAGCATATGAGTAGAATACGGAGGCTGTCAACGTTGACCAATGGTGTTGCACAGGTGCGAAATGCCCACAGCGAACTGAATGCGTGAAGGTAGCAAAGGAATCCTTGTCGTCCTGTCATCGATCGCTTTGGCTTTTCATGGCAGAATGTCACAATTTAGTGTAGTGTCATGGCTTTTTATAACTACCCGTCCTGCTGCTCGATCCGCCCAGCAGTTACTTGGGCAGTGAGCTGCTCATGAGACAGCATGCTGCAAAGGGGGCTTGGCAGCGCAGGCGCGGCTTGGAACGGTATAGTACAGTGTGCATGGAAGTGCAGCTGGGTGCACCACCGGACCTGCAGATGAACAGGCTGTGAGATCGCAAGCCTCTCATTGCCCGGTTGTTCGGATATCGGGGCACTCGAAACGACGTAGCTAGCTGCAGGTACACGTGATGTGCTGGTGAGCTAGCGAGAAACTGATAACGCAGCACCTACAATGCCTACGTGCATGTAAGTACTCAGCTAAGCGAGGATAGGAACCTGTACGACTGTAGAGCTAGGGGAAATGGCCATAATCCACTACGACATTTAATTAACTCATGGTCATGCAATCAGCTAGGTAAAGTTGAAGTGGTATTTTTGGATTGACACGAATCATCAGTTTGGCAGCACTGTTGTGCCCGGTCGCCATTGCAGGACCTAAGACTATAGTGTAAACACTGTGCAATGGGAATTATAGGTGAGCCATGACATGGGAGACTTTTGCCGGAGCTGACACGGGTTCGCAGCGAGTCTCGTGTGTTTCAATCTTACACCATTAATGTTTTCACTGTTCAAACGCAGAGTCAAGCCTCGATCTGATCAACCCGCGTTCAGAGCAAACCAAGGCTTAGTAGAGCGTGAATTAACAATTTCACGAAATTCAGCGCAGCGTCGAGTCGAACCACTGTGCATGAGGTAACACAAGAGGTAGTTGCTGGAAGTGAAGGGGACTCTTCCTACCCAGTCTTGACTCAAACAGTTGCAACTTGTTCCCATTGGAGCTGGATCTAAGGGTATCAGAACCAGGCTCGCTCAAACTCTGCTACAACTCCAACCAGGGAGTAGTAGTACAATACTCCCTTGTAGTACTACTACTCCCTGTCTCCAACAATACTGTCTTGGCAGGTTAAAGTGGGTACCTGTACATGTACCTGTAGCTTGGGTTGAACTCATCATTGGGTTGCTACTCAGGTTAAGGTTATCACCTACATGATTGTAGCTATCCTCTCCATTTCTCTTCTGAGGCACTCTACCTCCCACAATGACAAAGCAAGAATATTGATGCCAGGCGTTTACCAGATCTCAGTGAACCAATGGCAATGGATAAGCCCTGGCACAACGCGCAATGTGAAGAAGTGGCGCTATTCCGGGGCTCTATCGCATACAGAGCTAGCATGAGAAGGTGAAACTGATAGTGGCATGCAGCGAGTGACAGTGCGCGATATCTATTACATTAGATTTAGTTTCCAAGTCAGTGTTGTGCACTTGAAGCAGCGGCGACTCTGCCTGCTGATGAAATGGAAAGGAAACTGCTGAGTTGAGGGTGGGTGGCGGGTGGCGGGCCGTGATGCCTCCCCTTATACCCTAATTCTACATGATGTATGTATGGTGCTGTCAGAAAGAAAATTTAATGAGTATTGTTTTCGACGTGTTTGTCAGCATGAAGTAGGACAGACTACAGTGCAATAGTGTGTGCTTGGCACTGACAAATGGCGGGCAGTATGCAGTGCAGTCACGTAGACGGATCAAGAGATGGGCTTCATCAACACAGCGATGCATGCATCTCTCACGGGACCAACTCTGGTCAATCGCCATCCAATCCTAAGACATCATGAAGTCGAATATTTCGTGTATACAATCTTCGTCCGATACTTGTCTGACCGTGTCACTGGTACATGCCCGCAGGCAACTGATGTCTAGGACAGCAGGGAGACGCAGCGGATGGTGTGTGGCAAGTGAAAGATCAACCATTTCACACACACACACACCGCCTACACACTGCGCTCGCGTCAGTCAGCGTGCACAACAAGCGCGCGCTGACGTTCGCAGTGACAGGCAAACGCCAAAACAGCTCGAACAGCCTCTTTTGCAGTATTCACGCCTGTGTCGTGTGGGCTAGGTACATGTACATGTACGTACGACAATAATATTGTCATCAACAGCAGGAATATTGGAATTCTATTATCTCGCCTTTTGGATATCACGTTTTTTTCCCTTTGGATATCACAATCGATGCATATTGCATCGTTCTACTTTGAGTAGTAACAGTGCATATGGTCAAAGGTCACCTCAACTCTCAAGGAAACCCAAAACTCAGAATTTTTCTATGGTAGCTCTGTTCTATTCTTGCTTTGTGAGCGGGGTGATTGAGAATTTGAATACTGGCCAAGGAAAGGTCAACCGACATCAGCATTACACGTCAACAATGAATGGCAGTTGTGCACCTTGTTTGTGTCGGCCCGAGTAAACTCATGATGCACAGACAGACTTACATGCACATGTAATCTGTTCTGGTACATGTGCGTAATGTACAAAACCTTTTTAAAACTATAAAAATTATTGTCATGCACATGGCGACCACATTATTATTAAAATTGATTCCCCAGATTTGACTCTGATCGAAGGTGCGTGACAAAAGAGACGTTAGGTTGACTGGGGGGGGTTGTGGATGTGACGTACATGTACATGTAGTACCATGCCATACGTACTTCAAACAATGACCTTTTCTTCAGTGATCTTATAGGTGATCGTCCATTTTACGAGAGCAGTTTGGCGCCGACCGCTATACAGGTGACAGCAGCAAGACTACATGTATGGTCACCTACATTCCCGCCTGTAAACAACAATAATTACATGTCCTGGGGTTTAATTAATCAGTAGCTAATTTTCACTTGATTATCCTGGCACCTTCATGCACATGTACAATGTACATGTACATGTACCTCTACCTAAGGCTAAGTCCTTGCTTGTCAAAGCACATGTCACTGATATCAGTTTTCACCCACGCGCACTGTTCAATGTAATGACATTATGTACATGTCCGCTGTACATGGAAATATTATTCTATTAATTATTTTGTGGATTGCAATTGCACTGAACTCATTACTTGTGTTTCTGACACGCACCTATTAAAACCGTCCATGCCTGTGTACCTGTGACAATCCATACGTACAGAATACAGTTCTAAGCTGGCTAGAGCGTCGCTGTTTGGGGGTTTCGTGTATGTACTTTGAGGGTGCTTTGCCTTCGAGAGAGTGCTGACGCAGGTTGACGTTAGGCAGGGACTTAACTGCCCATCTTGAACCTTTTTCACCTTGCATCATATCAGCCTACCAATAGAAATACTGAATAGGCGAGCACAAATCTGCCTGGAGATACAATGTATATCCGCTGCTGGCTGTCAGGGCTCGAGCGCTCATTCTCAACAAAACAATATCAATTTTCATACTTCGAAGTACGTGCAAATCGGTTCCGTAATCGCTGAACTTCGACGAAGCTCCGTTCGGTGGTTCCGTGGGATCTTCAGCATAATTATGTCGCCACAATCAAACTGTGGTCACAGAATTTCACTTGCAAGCACCCCGAAGTTGTGTAATCGAGCGCAGACGGTAAAAGAACGGCGTCAGTTGCAAAGCCAAACGGAGGAACGCATAATCGTGACGCTGCTGTGCTAAACTAAGGTGGAGGCCTCAGCCATGCTAAAGGTGGAGGCCTCAGCCATGCTCTGTTTGATGCTGCACAATCTACTGTAGAGTGCACTGGGTATACAGTACGTGCACGAGTCACATGGTAATGCTGACCCTGGAGGAGTTTTCGTGGTCATCAGCACGCCCTGGAGGAGTACCCGGTACCCGTGGGAATACAGTCATGAAGGTGCATGTAGTAAGCAGACATGTACGTATGTATATGGCGATATCTTTATCTCATCGCATAGCGCATGTCCATGTCCATTTCATGGGCATGTTCATTCGGACTACATCACCGTTAAAGGAATTAACTTCCAGCGGTGGATACACCACGGCAATTCCCTATCACTTATCAGTCTATCAGTCCAGATCATCAGACTGTGCAGGGACAAGAAACATAGATAACGCTACGGGTAGATCGTAGACTGTTGTTAGAAGCCTCTTTAGTAACACTGATAGTTTATGGGATTCCATAGAGACATGTAGAGCATGACACGTGGGATTCCATAGAGACATGTAGAGCATGACACGTACCGTGTATTGTATACATAATTGTAATGTGATCGATTATCGTGCTCCCGATTCGTGTTCCAGTATTGTGAGTTCAAGTGCAAGACAAACACCCGTCCGAATCAGCAATGGCTGGACTGTGTTCAGAATGTCCTCAGTCCCCTAGCGATAATGTGTCCTGTATACATGTATGTCGTTGCACCTAACTAGCTGAGCCTTTTGTTCTCATCCATGAAACGCAGTCGTCATTTTCAAGTGTCCATCACATACGATGCGTGTCGATTCGCTGGAACGTGCAGCAACGTACAGCGAAGGGAATGCTCGTGTTTGGCTTTAATAATACCGGATGAATCTTCGAGTTCTTCTCTTCATCGAGTATGTTACATTGTTTCCTGGCGTATTGTATTAGTGCAACTGCGAGTACAGCGAACTACTGCTATTTGTTAGCGGCTGAGTTGGGAACAAGTTGTTGAAACTGTCACCACCACAACGCGGCCTACTCGTGCACGCGTAAGAGTGGAACTCACCAACTCTCAATGGTTCTCTCTTCATCCAGCACAATCAAGCGAAGAGGGCGACAGCGAGCAAGTCTACTTAGGCCAACTTTCACAACCACACCTCAAAAAGTCATCAAGAGGAACGAAGGGAACGAAGGGCTTCAGAAAAACTGATTAAAAGTAGGTCACAATGGGTGAAGCTTTCAAGTGTTCACGTTTCTTGGTAGGTTCTAGGTCGGCCTCAGCCGGGAAGCGATGCACGTTCATGCAGCATCGTCCTTCAACAAAACCCAGAACATCTGCAAAGTGTGAGTAAGGGCATTGACGCGTGTTCAAGTCGGCCGTATTCAGGAATGTGTGTGTTTGTGTGAAACCTGAGACGATTTTGCTCCGTGTCAGGGGTCATCAATACGGCGGGCAGCGTTTGC